TTTTCCCTTTTTTTTTTTTTTTTTTTTTTGTGAAGTTTACATTTTAGTGCTGATTTAAAAATTAAAAATAAATTTCAACTACGTATATGCATCCACACATCAAATTAAAATGGATCGCATAGTTAAGGTACATCCACATATACTAGAGCTAATTACGTCTATGTACTGTTACGTTTCAATTTTAATAAACTGGTAGGATCCATGTCTAAACGTCTACCTTTTAATTTTAATTTAAAAAAACCCCGAAATTAGCTCATTCTTTCTTGTTAAGATATAAAGCATCTATGGTGTGTGATATTCCAAGGATGGAGAAGTTAAAAATGTTGGCAAGAAATCTTGTTTAGCTAGAAGTAGAAATCATTTCTGTTAAACATTTGTTGCAAGAGACCTTCACCAAATTATATATAAATGTATATGTAACATAGACCTTCAAAAACTAGCTAGAGATATTTCTCTTAAATTCAGTATTCTATGCTATACATTCTTAATTGAAGAAAGGGGATCACTGTCAGTTGATATATATATTGATTCTTCCACGCAGCTCCTGCATACAAGTTTCAAACAGAATTTGCATTATTATTTCACAAATTTAGCAAAATTTCCCATTTATATGGAGGTGAAGAGTCATCAATGTTAATGATAAATCTTACATTGAATAACGATGAAATACATACAAAACAAGGTCTTGAACTGTACATCTTAACAATACTACCTTTTAAGTGGAATCCCAAACTTCAACGAGCAATTTGATCTAACTAAGACTCGAACGAGCACATGAATTTTAAGATTTATATTCTCAAACGAGTCTCCTCATACGAAAGCATGTTAAGGTTAATTCCACATCAAATAACAATGAAATAAGTACATAATATATATGAGTTTCAGTTGCTTCTGTTAACAAAATTGACATTTTAAGATGGATATCGAAGTCTTAGTCCTTGTTTGGTTTAGCTAAAAAGTCGATAAAATCTAAATCAAAGTTTACAATTAATTTTAACCATACATTTCATCAAATCTACAACTTTTATCAACTTCATACCCACACATTTTATCAAATGTTATCAAATTTTTAAAAAAACCAAACACTGGCCTAATAATCAAGCAATGTACGGTGACACAACCAGTTTTCCCGAAAACCAATGCTAGTGGGAGATGTGCAATCAAACTCTTTTATCACCCAAGATCAAGATTAGGAATCGAGTCAAGCACTATTTATTTGAGCATTACTTTTTGTCCACTGGCTTAATGAAGCAATGCTCTTGTATCAACTCGGAGCTATTGCAATCAGAAGGAGGGTATAAATGCTCATTAAGAAACCCTAACCCTAAATTTTTCTGGAGAATACATCGATGATCTGATACATATATGTGAACAATACATATGCATGCATGCACTCACTCAAAAAAATAACAAAAGGAATATGAGAAAATTAAGTAGCACTCTTAAATATTAGTAGAATTTAATGAAGTACAAGAAATAAGCAAGAAAATTAATTAATCAACAAACTAGTACCTCCATGAGCTAAAAGCTAGTAATTTACATGAAAATAATGGATTTCTACGTGAAAATGAAGAGGGCTTATGCCTAAAGAAAATCCCAATTACTTCTTTTGTCAGTAGGAAAATAACATACCAAGATCCACAGTAAGGTGAATTTCCCTTTTACTCCTCCTTTGTCTCCTTTAGAATTCGTGAAGGTAGCATATCTTCAAGAAGTCCATGGTCTCTGGCTAAAGGAGCTGCAGAGGGGTAAAAAGGTCTTTCTTGATGTGGTGGAGGAACTAAGGAATTAGCATAGGTGAAACTCAAAGGTGGTGCCAAATTACGGAAATAGGGTTGTTGCTGAATTTGATGCTGTTGGTTTTGGTAATGAATCACTTGAGGTATGGTGAAAGAAGAACAACCACCACCACCACCACCACCACCATAAGAGGTGTTTTCCGACAAAATTCCAAAGCTTCCACGAGGAGTTATAGGACACGGGTGTGTGTGGGTACCTTCATAGGTTGTGACAACTATGGATGGATCCTCAAATGATCTTTCAACTCTTTTCTTCACACCACATGCTGTACTAGTGCAACGATAATAACTCCTGCACAAAAAAAATAAAAATAAATAAGTAAATCATAACCCCACAAATTAATTTTAGCGAAATCTACTCATAATCATGAATATCTTTATGTCACTTTTCACTCCCTTATCAAAATAGGCAAAAAAATGATTAAAATTGAAAAAGTGAAAAACAAGAATACATACACAAGAATGTATCTATAAGTAGTGTGTATAATCGTGTGTGAATATACCTAGGAAAGGGGCTGTTTTTCACAGCCTTTTGGCCGTACTTTCTCCATCTGTATCCATCATCCAAATGTTCAATTTCACTCTTTGTCATGAACGCAAATCTCGGTTCTCTTTGCCTCTTTTGGTTCTTCTTTTTGGGTTTCAACCTAAAGTTACCAATGAAAATTTAACTTTTTCTACCACTTAAACAAGCGAATAAAAGACAGAATATGAGCATAATCAAATCCCTTGTATTTAAAGTAATCAGAACATGCACAACAGAACACTCTTTTAATCCCGTGTTGAACCTCATCGTATAAATGCTTAAGAGGATCTAAAAATTGGGAACTTTATCTTTGTACACATTAAAAAAGAAAAAGGGAAAAAGGCTCACTGTTTTTTGGTCTTTTCTTGGTCGATTTCTTCTTCTTCTTCCACAGTTTTACTCTGTTTATCATTAGCAGCTTCAGTTGAAGATGAAGACATAGACGAAGAATTCGGGCTGGCCGGTGTGTTGACCACTTCAGACGATTCCGGAACAGTCGAAGGCGGTGATGGAAGTAGCTGTGACTGTAGTGGAATCACCGGCGGCGTTTGAAGTAAATCAAATATAGAAGGGCTAGTAAAATCTTGAACATTCAGCATGTCTATTAAGCCTAAAGAACCCTTCTGATCTACCTCACACGGCATGTCAAATATGCTATTTGCCATGAAAAAACTGTTTGATGGAATCATCTGATGATTCTGATCGGAAAGTGATGCGTTTTCAGTTGAATTATCCTCTTTCTTCTCCATGGATTTGATTATAAGCACAAATTCTCCATTTAATTTTAGAGAGAGATGTTTTCTTTTGATTTGATTTGTTTCGTTCTCTGGGTTTTGAAGTGTGAAGTGAGTTTATGCATAGACTTTCATAAGGTGCTTTTCTGGGTGGGTTTTGGACTACAGATTGGCCCCACAAACTTTTTTTTGTGATTCTGATCGGAAAGTGATGCGTTTTCAGTTGAATTATCCTCTTTCTTCTCCATGGATTTGATTATAAGCACAAATTCTCCATTTAATTTTAGAGAGAGATGTTTTCTTTTGATTTGATTTGTTTCGTTCTCTGGGTTTTGAAGTGTGAAGTGAGTTTATGCATAGACTTTCATAAGGTGCTTTTCTGGGTGGGTTTTGGACTACAGATTGGCCCCACAAACTTTTTTTTTGTTTTAATAATTAATCTCCTTACCCTTTTATTCTTTTATGGCTCACTCATGAGGTAGATCTTACTCTCTATAAACTGGTCAAAGTAATATTTTTTAAATAATGATTTTTAAGAAAATATATGGTTAAAAAATAATTTTAAATACAAAATATTTTATCGTCTGAAACATGTGGTTAAAATGAACGTGTAGAAATTTTTTTTTTTTTTTTTTTCAAATAATGATTGTCAAATGGGGGCTTAATAAAGATG